TTATGAGCCACTACTTAAAAGGTAGGTTTTATTCACCACTTTCATTCTCTGGAAGTCTCCATCTAGAACACAATACTCATGACCATTTGCTGCTTCACTTTCTTTGATTTGGCTATGCTACATGTTAAGTAGGCTTGCACATTTGAGTGCTGATGTTCCTTATCAGTGAATTTTACTTCTTCTATGTAGGTCTTGTGCTTTGACAAACGTTTTATGGTTGTGGCGCATTTGGCTGGTGCTGCATGCCCTCGAGGAGCCCTTTGCTGGTGCTGTTCTAGACCCGTGATGTTATGCAAACCCCATTACGCACTGTTATTCAGATTGCAGCTTCTCCCTCTTCCCCCCCCTCATTTTCCCGTGACCTTCCCTTTGTCTGCTGCCTGTCGCTAGGCAGGATTCAGGCAGCTCCATGCTCATTGGCTTCTCTTTTTGAGCAGCTCATGGGCTGCTTACCTGAGCACATGATCATAGGCTGATGCGTAGCAGCTAGTACAATCCTTTCTTGCTTTAGAGCCGTCGTCTCTTTACAGAGTAAGAATAATAAAAAATTAGGAAATAGAGGGAAAATGGCTCAGAAATGAGACCTTCCTACATTCCTAGCTGCATTTGCATGTTTTGTGCCATTTAGCACACATTTCATCATGAGAAGGATTTCTAAATTTTGGAGGGAGGTGCCTAATGATGTGTTCATGTCTCACATGACTAATTATGTATGACTTCAAAGCTTAAAATGAAAAAGAGAGTTTTTGTATCTAAACAAATGAACACAGTATATATGTTGGCCTGTCAAAATTGTTGTCTTTAATAAAACAAAAACAATCAGCCCAAAACCTACATCCTTATTTACAGCATTTAACCCTTACACAGGTAGCTGTACGTGCCGGCGTCATTTTGTGTTGATGCATACAAAAGCCATTCTTTGAAATAAAAGGTGTTACTCCGTTGGCTTGGTGCCTGGGCCATTGGTTTCCTCCTTGTGACTTGGTCACAAGATGAGTAAAAAAGAAAACACCCAAACATCAGATAAGGGAGGTGTTTAACAAACATAGTTAAACTTCATGTTGTTAACTATAAAAGGAGACTACCAAAATGCATTCATTTAGAATAGTAGTAGCTTGATAAGTTTTATTTGTGCAAGATTGAATCCATGGATGTTGCTCTCTGAAGGGCTGCACCTTGCCCCTTTGAAAGACTGGAAACCAGTATTCATCAAACGGTGGCTGACTGGCTTGCACTGGTGTGACCAAGTCTGTCTGGACTGGCTGCCAGTTGATTTGTTTCTCTTACACTCAGCTCTCATATGAGTCTGTTCTTTGGCTGCACTGTGCTCCCTTGTGGGTATGGCTGGAAATGCTTCAAGACTGGTCTGCCCTGTTACAAGATATTTTAAAACATCGTTTTCAAAGGTGAACTCAAAACACTGGTTCGTCTCATCTATGCGTATAATTTTGTCACAGTAGTTGTTATGGAATATTTTTGGTAGCTTTAATCAAATACTCTTTGGTTGCAAAAGACTGTGGGACTGAGCAGGAAAATATGCCTGAGTTACTCCCATAACCAGTTAACAATGGAATTTTGAGACACCTGTGTTTCTTACAGGTTCTTTCCAGAACCACATTGCTAGTGCTTTGTTTTTAACTAGATTTTTGATAATATCCTAAGATAATAGGAACATAATTTTAAAATATATAAGTGAACATAATTTTAAAATATATAAGCAATTCAAGCTTTTTCATCCATTTTTTCAGTAAAAAGTAAGAATGCATCAATATAAAGGGATTCTGATGTTTGAATTTTTTTAAGACTGCTCTTCTTGGCAAACGTAAAAAGAAGTGTTCTTTTTTTCTTTGTATTTACTCTGTATTAAAAATGTTAATGAAAAACTGCTTAGATGACTTAAGGAAATTAGAACAGCAAATATTAATTTATTTTAAGTTATATGGTTATTCAAGTGATGCACTTAGAGATTTGATTTTAAGACGCTTGTAAATGTTACATTAATCTATTAGTGTATTTTCTGGTCATAGGAAAGGTAAGACTGTGAATTTTGTGATATATTTTGTAAATTCTGGGTAATGCCTGTAAAAGAAAATACTGTAGTCTGGGAGATCGAACTATACTATTGTAACTTTGATGCAGAGGCCCTGATTTTGTACTGTGCTGCCAGAGGGTTCTCACTAGTGGCTCACCTATTAGGAGTTCTTGGACTTGTTCAAAGTTAACCAAGCCTGATTGTTTGTTTGTTTGGTTGGTTTTTTTTGAAATTACCTTTACAAGATAAAAATCTGTTACAGCATGTGTGTTGTTATAGGGTTTATATGAATGAAGGGGTTTATGTGATGTGAAAATGTCTGCCTTCCGTTCTGAGTTCTTGGGAAGACTGAAGGGATGTACTTCTAAAAACTGCACTTGCACTTCCAAAATATTAGAGACCTATACATGCTTTTTGTACTATCAGGTCTAAAATTCTTGCATTAAATGCTCTTTAAATGCTCCTCTTCTGAAGGAATATGAAGAAATTGTATTTAGCATGTAGACAGCTCTGGAAAGGCATTAACAGCTCGCCTGGAGTTCATAAGTCATCTGACTGAAAATGGTTGCGATGAGAACCTTTTTTCGACTCAAGTAAACTGGTGTTTCAGATCAGTGTTTCTGTAGGTGTTATATTTTGCTCCCACTAGTGGCAGTGCAGTAGTAGACAATCCAGTTCAGAAAATCTAGGTCAGAATGGCAAAAAAATAATCATAATGGTATTATTGAGAGCTCATAAATAGACCTGATAAACTTTTTGTCAAAATTTGTTCATCTGTTCTTGAGGTGTGAGTCAAAGTGTTAAGTACTATCAGTAACCCAAATCTGAGGTTTCTAAATTGTTTTGCAGAAAGGAACTCAAGAAAAGGGTAAGGGAAGCTCAGTGCGAAGTTAAAAGGAAATATAAAAAATTGCTTTGTACTTTGTCTGTGTTTTTGTCCGGTCATCTTATGTATAAAGTAAACCTTAGAATTGTAGTGTAAGGTACGTCATGATTGTGGGGTTTACAGTAGCATTCATATTGTACTTTAGAATATATATTCTTACTTTACAATGTAGAATGTTGTAGTTAGAGCTAAATGTTAAATAATTTTCTTCACAAAAAATTATTCCAAATAAACTAAGAAAGATCCAGCAAACCAAAATTATAGGAGCTAAAGCATGTGACCCGTGAGGGAGCTTGACAGCTTCAGTCTGCTGAAGAGAAGGCTAAAGGGCAATCTTAGCATTGCCTAAATAAAACTTGTAGATGAGGTCAGCTACAAAATGAAGTGGAGCCATTGTTATTTAATGGCAACTGTGTTCTGAATTTTGCAGCTTGGTTTGTAGAATTGTCAAATATCCTGAGTTCTAAGGGACCCACAGGGGCTGAGTCCAGCTCCTCGCCTGGCACCCCCAAGAATCATTCCACCTGCCCCGGAGGGTTGTCCAAATGCTCTTGACTTCGTGGTTACACAAAACTGTCATTGATCTGAGCTAGTGTTGGCAATAGTCCTACTTTCTTTTACCAAAAAAATTTAAAATCATTTATATTCCCCTGAATAGACAAAATGCAATATATTTATTCTTTGCAATATATTTATTCATTTCTTAGTTCTGTAAATGAAAATTAATTGGGAGCTCACACAAAACGAATCATAGTTAGTATTTAAAGTGCATTCTTTTCCTAATAATTCTGCTGTGTCAGTGTTATAAACACTTGCCTATCTGGTCCTTGTGGGCAAAAAAGTCATATTGAGATAATTGCCTGATGATTTTTCTCTTAATTACTTTTAATATAATTTTTGCATGTTTTTGAGAAACGTAATGAAGCCATATACTTGGTGGAAGTAACTTTATGGTGGTTTGTAGCTTCAGCAGACCTAATTTGGTTAGCACCAGCTGATTCAAGATCTTAGTTGTTGGGTTACATTGAGGATATAGGAACTTTCTTAGCTGCCTTCTGTTTCTGAATATTATCTTATGTGATCCTTTAAAATGAGACCATTAAGCAAGACCACATGGGGAAAAAATATCTTTTAAAAATCCCTATGGATTTGTTTTGTTTAATGGAAACAGATGAATTCAGATTTTGTTGTATTTCAACAAAATCATTATAGCTTCCTAGATACTGCTGGATTTAACTTCATGTTTTGATTTGATAAAATAGATTTTTTACCATTTTTCTTACACTTTTTATAAACATTTATATTTTTCTTAATACTTGTGTGGATGCTTGGAATGACTATAGCTGTTGAGGGCAAACCCACCAGTTTTCTTTGAAAGAGGGAGTTTTTCTACAAGGTGCTCCAATTCCTGTAGTTTTTATGGCCACAAATAGTCTTTGCAAAATATTACTGAAAACTGAATGAAAGTGGTATAAAAATCCAAATTCATTTAACCATTGTATAGATGAAAGTAGAGGATGAAAGTCTATTGTATTTATGCAGAAAAAAGTATCTTAGTGATACATAGAGAAATTCTTTGTACATAATGAAGTTTTCTTAAAAGTGATTTGATATAAAAATCTTGTCATTTACCCCAGTTGATAATTCTGGTTGTAATTTATGAAATTAAATCTATTTAGAAGGATGGAAATAGTCTTGATCCATCAGTTTACATTTATTTTTACCTTAAGATGAGAAGAGAGGCTTCTGGCTCTTATCTTAGTATAATATATATTTAAAGTAGAATAGTATGAGACAAGTGGTCTGAATGAAATGTGTAGTTAGAATATTACTGCATGATGTCTTAGTGTGACCTCTGTGACCTTTGCATAAATGTGTTTGTGCAGCATATAGAGAAACTTGGATTCACTTTTTGGGAAGTCAGATAAAATTCAAGTGTTGACAGGTGTTTCTTTGTTTTTGTCAGTACCATTTCAACTGGTTTACTTTAAAATGTGCTAAACGTTGCAGTCTTTCTTAGTAGCAATGTAATATGACAATGATAAAGTTTTATCTTCACAGTTCTTTCTGAATTTTTTTAAGGGCTAAAATGGATAGCACAGAGGAACCTCAGAAAAAAGTCTTCAAAGCACGAAAAACAATGAGAGTAAGTGATCGGCAACAACTTGAAGCTGTCTATAAGGTTAAAGAGGAGCTGTTGAAGACAACTGAAGTGAAGCTGTTAAATGGAAAGCACGAGAATGGAGATTCTGACATGAATTCCCTTTTAAGCAATACAGATTGTGCAGAAGTCAAGAAAGAAATTAATGGCATGGTTGACTTGTGTGTTAACTCTGAAGAAGGAAGAGCAGCTTGTGATGAAATTAGTGAGACCAAAAGCCCTGAAAGTAGGGCAGGAAACATAGTCAATGACATAGAATCCAAACCTCTAATGCCATCCTCAGAAAATGTTACTACTGAACAAGCTAAAGACACTGACATTGCAGCAAAATGTGAGGCTGAAAATGGAGTTGGTAGCAGTAAAGATAACTTCCATGAAGAAAATAACAGAAAAGATCAAGTGGACCAAAGAAAGAATGATATCCCATTGGAAGGTGAAAATAAACCAGTCTGTGATATTAATGACTCTTCTGAACAGAAGGGAGAAACAAATTACTTACCTGTTAATTCCAGTTCATCTGAAACGGGTGAGGAAAAGAGGACTGAAGAAGTAACTGTTGAAGAGGTTGTTGGAGAAGCAGCCATCTCTAGCAGTATGGAAGCTGACCAGGAAAAACAAGAAGGCAGTGCAGGACCAGAAACCACTGTTTCGAAGACAATAGATGAGCCAAGTGAAAGCACCTTGGACAATACGGACTGTATGGAAACAGATGACATTATTCCAATTCTGGAAAAACTAGCCCCTGCTGAAGATGATCTGAGCTGTTTTTCTAAAAGTTCTCTGCTTCCAGTGGATGACACAGTCCCAGATTTAGAAGATAAAATAGACAATTGTTTGGGTTCACCATCCAAGCAGGAAAGCAATGAATGTCTGCCAAAAGAGGCTTTCTTAGTACTGTCTGATGAAGATGATCCCTGTGATGAGAAGGAGGAACTTGCTGAAGGGATATTGCCAAACAAGTCAAGTCTTCCAGGTAAGAATTTTTAAAATCATTAGTTTCAATTTAAGTTTGGGATGTTCATTTCTTAGAATGACACACTTGTGTCAGGTTTCTAAATCAAAAAGGCAACCTTACCCACCAGTAATGTTATGTAGTCTTAGTTTTCAAGGATGGTATTTGAGGCACAGGAAAAAAAAAACTTTGTACCAAAAAATGGTCATCTTCCAGATTTGGGTTGTTTTGATTTATTTTTTTAATTTTAATTTTTTAAAATTTGTTTTGGATTTTGGTTTTAGGATTTGTTTGTTTTCTTGTTGGTTTGCTTTGGGTTTTTTCATAGTCTTTAAATTTGTGTGCCAACTTGGGTGAGGTAGTGGGTGGAAAAAGAGGAAAGATAAGTAATTGTCAGAGAGGGAACAGAAGGATTTGAGAGAAGAGGAACTGCATTCATTTACTGCTTTCACAGAGAAGAAAGTATTTCAGCTTTCTTTAGCATGCAAATAAATTATAAGGAAAATACACATATAAGCCAGGTGTGCCTCATCTTCTCTTTTAACTTTTCCAATACTGTCTGTCAGTGGGGAAAAAAAAAGTTAATGAAAAATGCATGTCATGTATTGTTTTTATATCATATAGCTTTTATTCATTTAACTCAGTGGTTTTTATCTAAGTTTTCTGTGACTATGGTAACTGATTGATGCTTTGAAATGTTAAGTGTGGAATCTCTTCATGTAGTTAGCAGAACATTTTTCTAAGTTAAACTCCATGCATGTCCTTTGTAGTGTACTGTTTAATACGGTTGTGTAAGCTTTTTTTTCTTTTTGACAATGGACAGTCTTTGTTATACTATTGCACTTCTGAAAAGAAAACAAACTAACAATTTACAAATAAGTTGACCATGTTCTTGTAATTAAGAAAAACATTTCAGATTATCTTGGAGTTGGAATTATTTTCTTGGGGTTTTTTCCTCCCCCTCTTCTTCTCCCCACCCTCCCACCCCCGCCCCTGTATAGCTTTTATTAAATTATGACCGTATTAACCCGAGTGTGTTTAAATATGGCTGACTGGATAGAAATTTCACAGCTTAAATAAGATTCAGGTTTTAGTCTCTGGGAAGTTAGTGACTGTAGTTTCTCAAATCTTGTTTTACTAATGATCAGACTGTGGCATTCTAAGTCTTCAGTCTCTAAAACAGCTAGAGAAACAGAGATAAGAATGGCTCTTCAGCCCTGTTTTAGACTCCTCCTTTTCTGGTATTTACCTTTAAATAATGCTAGTTAAATGGAGATAAGGTAGGTTCCATAGTTCCTGCTAAGGTAGGCATTAGTTGTTGTCAGTGAGATTGAGAAAGTGATACCACTGTTGTGCATATAAAGTCTTCCAGAAACTATTGGAGGTGGGAGAAGCAGGGGGAAAGAAGGTTGCGTGTAGTTGTGTCAAAATTGTAGTGTTACGATTCCCTTTTATGAAATAAACAGTACAAATAAATTGGTTCTCTTTGTTCTCACTTCAGTTTGAGTTCTCTCTTTGAAGCCATTAAGTTTACTTTTTTCATCTTACCCAGTGAGAAAACATCTGGGGTCACAGGGGAATATACTATGGAGCTAAAAGACTGAAGTGGATATTAAATACTGGACTACAGTTTGCAGAAGTTTAAAATTAATGTATCCAGCAATAGATTTTTAAAATTCTAAATTTTGGTGACAAGACAAATTCTTTTGACTAGTTGTTTTATTTCTTGGCTAATAACAGTTTGACTCTTAGAGTTGTGTGGCTGTAACTGAGACTGTTCATGAAATGAAATAAATTATGTTCTGCCTTGACCAGCAGCAAAGATAATAGCAGAGAGGTTGCATAGGCAGGAAACAGTTGTATGAGAAAACAGTTAGAGTTACCTTATAAAGAGTAACTTTTGGAAAGACTCTGGGAAAATTAAAAAAAAAAAAAAATTAAAAGGAGACCATATGGAGATAATTTCAAGATGCTATATTGGAGAAACGGGTGCAAACTCCTCGTTAAGAAGCAAGATTTCAATAAGTCCAGATAAAAACCAACATGGCTAAACAACAGTGAAAAAATGGTACTAGAAGACTTTATTTAAATGGACAGATTAATGGGATGTCTTTCCCAAGTGGAGTCACAGATTTTTGTCATGAAAGATCATACATCAGAAAACCTTGGACCTTTTTGTGTAAGCAAACAAGCATGTGACAGGGAAGCCCTGATGTGAACTCCCTTGGATATCCAAGCACAAGTGATTTCTTACCAAGAAATTTTGGAAATGAAATAGTAAAATGGAAAGTCCTCCTGGAGGAAATAATCAGCTGAAGAATAAAAAATAAATTCAGAGTTCCAGAGACTGTGCTGTATGACAGAATTAATAAATTGTCTGAAATGAATGGTAACTAGTGATGTCAGTTTGCTGATAAGAAGAACTGGAGAAGAATTTTATGGTGCTGATTGACTGAGAAACAAACGTGGCAGGAGAAATTCATAGTGGTTGTCTACAAAGTGGTGCACATGAGTGCAAAATTCGTAACTTGGTCAGAAGGTAGAACTGACTCACCACTTAATAAAAATATTTCAGGATTATGGTAGGTGTTTTTGAGGAAACCTTGATAAAATGGCAGCTGAAGAAATCAAGTGAAAACTTATTGCAATAAATTAGGAAACAGAAAAACTTCATTATGATACACCAAGCTCATAGGAGGCTGACAAGGCTGCATGCATTCCTTATGCTTTTCTAGCATCAGGATAATGAGATCATAGCTTAACAGTGAAAACTAAGCTGATAGCCAGCTGTGAAATCTTCTCCTTAACTAGAGAGTTCAGCTGTACATCATGTTGAAACCACTTTTAGTTAAGTGACTTAGATTTGTTCATAGTAATGGAAGTTAGTAAGGAAAGGGCCTTCAATTACTTGTCCTCTATATTGAAGTTTTTTGAAAAAAAAAAATATATCTATATATAAAGTATTTTGAAAAATAAGACCTTAGCTTTGAAGCTTGTAACATGTTTTAAAGACATTCTAGGTATGTGTATCTTTCCATGGAATATTTGTGTCTTTCAGCTGAATATTAAAATCTCTGCATTGTGGGAAAAGTTGTCTTGAGCTTAGCAATTCTCCTTTAGATTCACAAGTAAACAAGTCCTATTTTATTCAGAGCAATTAAATACACAAAGCTTATTTATAAGTCTTAAAAAGCAGGTGGCATAGGCATTAAGCTAATTTATTACCTTAAAAGTAAATCAGGTTGGGATTGAAGAATTTGTATTACGAATATTATTTTTTACATTAATAAGAAAAATTAAAATACCATATTGCCAGGTTATTGGGTTTTGACTCCTTTCTTTTTATGATTTATTAGGTAACTTGTTTTAAATCATTTAAATGTTCTTCATAATAGAAGGGAGACTTAATGCTAAGAGAGCATCAAGGATACCTTTGCAACCAGAACTTTCCTTTGAGAAGCTAGTAAACTCTGCTGTAATAACAAAACGAATATAGGAAAATGAAGAAATGTATAGATAAAGATGTGCATCACAGTGCTCACTTACTCTCTTATATTCTGGATAGATTTTACTGTAATCTTAAAAGCAATAGTTTTGTGTTTTATCTTACAAGCACAGAATCACATAATGGAAGCTTGTTTCATTCACATATGTATGAAACACATATTGGAAGCTCATGGAACATACAAAATTTTTCAGCAAATGCTACCATTATTATCTTTGTGTGTTTGGTGGCTTCAGATTTTTCTTCTTTTAAGCATTTCCTAAACAGTATTTTTAAATGGCTAGTCCTAAATTGTGATACTTTGTATCACAAAGTATCACAAAGAAGAAAATTCAAATTAAAATTCATATTTGTTAACCTAAATCTAAGCCTTTCCTACCATTAAGATTATGGTTGAAGTTGCCAACTGTAAATAGAGAAACACATTAGTATGTTAGTATTTTGTTACTGAAATTTTTATGCTTTGTCCCTAAGTGGAAAAGTAAGCTAAAATAATTTGTTGAGAACTTCAGCTGCATTAAAAATGCATAATTTTGTTTCAGAGGTAACTGAAACATGCTTCCCGCATAATTACAGTTCAGTAATTCTAGTTAAAATGCTAAGCAAATTCAAAAGTGAGTCTTAATGTGTTGCATGATAGTTCAAATTTTCGTTTTGAGGCTATTCCCTTATTTTTTTTCATATCTGCAGTCCCTCTTTGTCATACTTATTTCTCTTGCCTTCCCTCACATGTTTTTTTTCCATATATTTTCTTAATTCATTAGTCAAAATAGGACTGTTACAAGACTTTTGTAGATCTGAGAAAGTGTCATGTGGATTTTTTTCTTGTGTTTATAGAAGAGGTGGAGGAGGAGAGAAAAAAGGAATGTGAAGATAAAGAAGGAGAAGAGCCACACAAAGAAGAAGAGAAACAAATAGAGAAAAGTATGTAATGTTAAAACCATTGTGTTTCACTGTGTTGTATGTTTCAGAAGCACAGAATCATTAGGTTTGGAAGGGACCTTTGATGATTATCTAGTCTAATGCCCCTGTTAAAAACCAGGTCAACTAGAAAGCAGTTTGCCCAGAACTATATCATGACAGGTTTTGAGTATTTCCACAGGTGAAGATTCCACAAATTTCCTGTGTTCTGATTGCAGTGCTTGACCACCCTCACAGTAAAAAAGCTTTTAAATGTTTGAGTGGAAATTCCTATATTTCAATTTACATCCATTTTTCTTGTCCTGTCACTGCTACTCACTAAGAGTCTTGCTCTGTTCATTCTCCAGCTGTCAGGTAATTTATACACATGATAAAATCTCCCCCATTGACCTTCTCCACTTGAAAAATTTCAGCTCTTGATGAATGCTTCTATCTCTAAAACATCTTGGTGACTCTACACTGCACTCTCTCCAGCATGCTCACATATTTTTTTGTATTTAGAAACCCAGAACTGGACAAAAGACTCAAGTTTTAGGCTTACATTCCCTGGTTAGAGGGGAGTAAGTACCTCCATCAAACTGCTGTCAGTACTCCTTCTCAGGCAACCAAGAATATTGTTGCCTTCTTTGCCAGCAGGGCACATTGCTGTCCCATGTTCAACTTCATGTATGTGGAGACCACCAGGGCCTTTCCTGAAAAGGTGTTACCAGCCAGTGAATTCCCAGCCTGTCCTAATGCATGGTTTTATTGCTATGCAAGTGTAGCACTTGGGCATCTCCTTTTCTTAAACTTCATGAGGTTCTTGTTTGCCCATTTCTCCAGTTTGTTATTGTGATTCCAAATGCCAGCATAACCGCTTAGGAGTGTACAAATCACTCCTTCCAGTTTTGTATCATCTGCAAGTTGCTGCAGATGTCTTCTTACCCCATTATCTAGGTCATGAATGAAGATGTTGGTGTTGGTACCAGTAGCATCTGCTGGTGTGCCTTACTGAGCTCCAGCTGGACTAGGTGCCAATAATCACAGCTCCTGGAGCCCAGCAGTTGAGCCAGTACAATTATCTAGGCTATACATCAAGAATTTGAGGATGATTTGGGTGTCAGAAGCATTATTAAAGATGCTCTCCTCTCATCCACCAAGCCAGTGGTCTCACTGTAGAAGGCTATCAGGCTGATGATGCCTGATTTCCCCTTGATAAATCCATTCTGTTCCCCATCACCACTTTCTTGATAGACATTGAGATGATTTCTGTCTAGATTTACTTGCTCCATCATGTTCCCAGGGACTGAGGTAAAGCTGATAATCCTGTAGTTCCCTGGGTCCTTGTTGCATAGTCTGAAGATTATTTAAAAGCAGATGTCCCTCTTGTCCTCGAGAGCCTTCTAGACACAGTGCCAGGAGCTGGAGGAGTGAATGAGGTCTCTTTAGTTCTTCTGTGCTTCATTACTGTTATTGAAAAGGACTTTTATAATCTGGTTCTGTTTTGAGCCTGTTCTTTTGTTAGATTTTTACATTCCATCAACCAAGAAGTGAAAAAAAAAATTGAATGGTGTTTGTCAGGTGTTGGAGTTAAGAGTTAAAGGTAAATACAGTTAATTGCTGGCATAGTTAAATGAGATGTAGTTTTATTTGGCTGGAATTCTGAGAAAAGGATTCGTTTTTCAGAAGGTTTTCTTCTCAGAAGCCATGTTTCATTATAGGATGGTGCTGATAGGAGCAGGAAGAACTGGAGGGAGGTTCTGGAGAGAGGAGTGGTGGTACTAGAACCATTTTGCATTTGGGGCAGTGACTGGGTGAATCACAAAGGAGAGCTCACTGGCAGAGCAGTAATGTACAGATACCAGAAGGACTGGTTTTGTACTTTGATGTCATCAAGCATGTGTTTCCAAAGGCATTCCTACTGGGTTAGCATGAAAAAGTTTGAACTGAGAACAACTTCACAGTAATCATGGCCTTCTGAAGATATCTGTTTTTTCAGGAGTTCCTCATGAGCAGTTTTATCTAATTGTTCCAGGTGAAGCATCAAAGAGAAAGCGTTCCAAATCTGAGGACATGGACTGTGTTCATTCTAAACATCGTCGGTACATGGGAGAAGATTATGAAGCAGAACTCCAAGTCAAAATTACAGCCAGAAAGGATGTTGACCTAAAATTGCAAAAGGTAGATAGAGGTGTAAAGCAAAGACCATATACACACACCTGTCACTTGTGTTACCATCTTTGAATTAGCAGTTCTTCTGCACACACTGTGTCCCTAGACATTTTCTGGTTTTTGTGGTTGTACATTGGATGTAATTCAAATAACAAAGGTGCTTAATTTATACGAAGCTCTACATAGCCCTCCTTTTAGGAAGAGACCAAATACCTTTTGAAAACTATGCTGCAGGAGTTATATTTGAAATTTAGAAAATACTTAAAGTCTCATGTGACTCTAGACTGAAAATGTTAGTAAGTAAAGGATGTATTTCACCATGATGATTTATATGTGATGCACTTTATTCTGTGCCTAGCTTTTTAAAAAAGGCAGTCTCCAAAGAAGAGTGTAATCCACCTGGCATTTTGCAGATTTTTGTAGAGCTGTTAATAGCCTGATTGCACAATTGCTGTATAAGGAACCTATGGTCTTGAAGAAAAAAAAAATGTGCTGTTCTTCTGTTAGTTCATTAGCTAGCATATGTTGTGACTTCATTCATTTAGGATGGCAAAAACTGAATTACATTAGTGGCTTATGTATTTTTATTTCCTATGAAAACTTTTTACCCAGCACTAGGCATAGAAGGGAGACAAACATAAAATAATAACTTTAATCAAGTAAACTTTGTGAAAAACAGTCTTTTCTTCTTATGTTTTTAGCTTCTGCAAGAAAGGCAGCACTGAATTTTTGCTAGGAGAAAATATATCTCAGAAAAAAGTTTTTGTTGAATGTCTTAAGTTTCTGTTCTTTGAATGCCAGTGTTCCTCTCAAAAATAGGAAAGTTAGAAGAACAATTAACTTGTGTAAGCACTGCACTTTAAAAGAATACCTTCTGTTGTTACGGTTCTTTTTATATATAGTAGGATTTTATGCCCTTATTATACTGCAGGGAAATTTGTGGCAAATCATTTGTGTTTTCACATTATGTCAAAACTTAGCTGTGCAACCACATGCTTGTTGCTGACTGTAGATTTATTTGATTGGCAGGGCACAACAGTTGTCATTGTTCTGTTTATAGCATGATATTTGTTAAGAGTTGAGAATAGTTTTTATAGGTGGTCCCCCAAATTTGGGATTGAATTGTTGCATTTTTTATATAACAATTTTGCAGATTATCCAGAGACTGTTAGAAGAAAAACTTACCACTTTACAGTGTGCGGTATTTGACAAAACTCTGGCAGACTTGAAAACCCGAATGGAGAAAGTAGAATGCAACAAGAGGCATAAAACTGTGCTTACTGAAATGCAGGTGAGTGTTTGTGTGTTCAACTCCATACTAGGATCAAATTCAAAAATAACTTCGTCAGTGTTTAGTAGTAAGGTTCTTACAGTTGCCAGTAGGGAAACCATTTTGACTCTGCAAGGGGAGGTGGTGGTGGGGGGAGCAGCAAATACTAATGTTCCTTTTTGAGTTGTAAATTCCTACTCAGAAGGCGGGAAGCAACCAATTAATCATACAGAAACCCCAAAGGGTATCTTCCACGTGGCAAACTGATTCATTAGCTGTTAGTAGTCTGCTTTTCCACTCTTCTCTTCCATTTAAACATTTTTCAAAAAAATGCCAAGTATGAAAATATCTAAGGTCTTTATGAAGCTGGAAATTTGCTTAAAAATTGGAACATTCAGAAAGGAGAGGACAGTAGCACTGGACTTCAAACACCCTACATCAGATGTTTCCCCAGAGTGTAAATAGTTGATGTTCTAGCAAGGAGGCAAATAGTTAGTGTCGAATGCAGCATGCTTTCCTGCATTTTTTGTAGAAAACATGTATGTAGTGGTGACTAGAAAACATCTACTAGTGGTGACATGAAGAACATCAAAAAAAAGAATTTTGAACTGACAAGACAATTGGAAGTTTATCTTGTAACAAATTTGAAAAATAAGGCCATTTTAGTTTCTTCATTAAAAGAGATATGGAGTTTGCCAGATAAGTTCCCTCTGTACAACTCTTTCCTCTTGTTGCCACAGACATTTTATGTTGACCTTTTAAATGCTTTCTAAGATGCTTTCAATACACTTCTTTACCAGTGTCTTTAGCCATCAACTAGAGTGTCAAATTAATAACATCATATAAGGCTTTCATTTATGTCGTTTTATGGTGAGCATGCCCGATGGATTCAATTTGTGCAGTTGTGAATAGGAAGGAAAATAATGAAACTTATCTCTGAGATACCTTGATTGTGATACATACATTTGTCTTTCTGCTATAATATAGTTGAAAATAACATAGTTGTACTGTATTTCAAGGAAGAATAATTTCCCTGATATGAAAATAGCCTTTGACTTGATGCCTTAGTTATAGATCTTTTAGTTTATAAAATTTCTTTCATGGTTCTTGGGGGTTAATGGTTTTGTTTGTTTTCATCTTCTTCCTATTTAGGCTAAAATTGCAAGATTGACAAAGCGGGTTGGAGCAGCCAAGGAGGACTTGAAGAAGAGACAAGAAGTAAGAACTAGATTTGTTGGGGTCTAGGGGATTTTTCTGAGTTAGTCTAAACCTTGCGTTGGAAAATAAAGAAAATTTATATGCAGAAAGATGTGACTTGTTTATTCAATGGCATTGACAAATGGGGTTTGGCTGGTTTGGTTAAAGAAGTCTTAACATCTGTTACATAATTCTGAATTATACAGAAGCTTCTTTAGCTGTTTTTAGTGTGAAAACACCTTAAACTGTATATAACTGAATCTAATTTACTTCAGTATGAAGAGTACTGTGTAAATAAAAGTGCATCCCACTATTGATTCTGGGGGATGAGAAAGGGAAGAGGAAAGAGAGGATACAGGAGAGGGAGGCAGTAGGACCAAGGAGATTTTGTGTACTTGTAAAAGATGTCAAATTCTCCTGCAGTGTTGACTTCAGAAAATGAATATCCCGCACAGCAGTGAATGGATATGAAATAGAATGAAAGCATAAGTTTGCAAGCTGACTTAGAGTTGTTCTGTTACGGCCTCTCTCTCTCATTCTGTGTAGAATGTGGCAAATGCGCCTGTATCTCCAGGGAAAGCAGCACCCGAGACTGCAAATGTAAACAATGCCACATATCGGTAAGCAAAGCACATGGCTGGGACCGTGTTAAAATGTACAACAGGACACTTCAGATAATCTCTGTGTTTCCTTCCTTTTTAAATTAAAGTGGTTTTGCTTTTCCTTCATTGCTCTTCACTTGTAAAATTTGATTTGCTTTTACAGAAGTCATAAATTGACAGAATTGAACTCATTCTTGGTTAAATCTAGATGGTATTTAGCATCAGTTTCAGTGTTTAAAAAAATATAGATAATAGTGGAAGTTTACTTTCAAGAACAGGAAAATTCTCATGGTGCAAGACAAGCTTGGTGCAAGGACTTGAAAATTTACAAATAACTCTATACTTCTTTTTGTTTGGGAAATATCCAAAGTTAATTTGCCTAAGAAGCAAAAAGTGAGTTTTGAAAAAAATATCTCAAAGAAAAGAACAGCTGTAAAATTGGGGATTTTTTCACCATTGTACTGTTCATAAATACACCTTACGTGGCTTTTTGAGAGAAATGCCAACTCAAACTTTGTTCCTTAGAAATGCTGGCACAGTAAGGCAAATGCTGGAGTCAAAGAGGAATGTAGGAGAGAGCACACCATCAACTTTTCAAGCCCCTGCGAATCCAGGTAAGAAACTCCCTATGGACTATAAACACATTTCTTAAAAGTTTTATTGCTTTCCATTAAAGAAGTGACTAACCAAACAGAGCAAAACTGATTTTACTCCTTTTTTTCTGACCTAAAAAAAATTTAATTTTAGTTCTCTAGTGCATTCCCAGTTTATATTTGTGTAGTATGCTTACCAGGTGTGGGAAAAAAATGTGTTGAATTGGCCAAGCAGAACTTGTGGTAAATGAGGTGCTTCAGTAGACTGCATGCTGGGTATGGCAGCAAAACTGGCTGCTAGGAACTGAAACACATCTCAGGCCCCTTATTGTACTTAATCACAATAGGATGCTGATGATACCCTTCTCTCTACCCAATGGCTATAGAAATTGAGTGGGAAACTAAACAGCAATTATAAACCACATTCCTTAAAGGAATCATGTTGAAAAATGGAATTTATAGATTAAAATTTTATAGGGAGTATAGACTCAAACTCACCATTAATTTATTCATTATAGTCTCGCTGTCCTTAGTTGTAAAAACAGTTTAATACCAAATGCTGAATCTTTCCCACAGGATTATCTTACAGTTTGCATATACTGGCTTTCAGTAGTGTATTTTGCTCCTGATCTTCAGAATTAATAGCAAAATTTTGTTGCATAAAAGTCAATATCTTCTCTGACACTTTAATACTTGGTTTTGGTAGAACCTGCTGGATACAAGGTCCTACCTATACAAGGCAATTAGTCATAACTGGCATAGTTTTTCTTTTCTTGTGTTTTGTGAAACACCAGTTGCTCTGCTATTTCTGTAATGGGTGTTTAAAATGCTGTATTTTATGTTTTCAACAGTTAAATCTTGGAGCTTTCTTCAAGCCTGCGTCATAATTCTTTATATATCTTTTTTCTGACGTTTCTTATAAACAGAAATGCAGTATTGACTGTATCTTTAACTAGACCACTGAACATGAGAATGTACAACAGAAAAATAGTACCTATAGCCTTTATTTGCAAAAAGAAGTAATTATACACTACCCTTTTCATAGAGGTATTTGGGTTGGAAGGAGCCTTTAAAGATCATCTAGTCCAACCCTGCCACCATGGGCCAGGCCATCTTTCACAAGATCAAGTTGCCCAAAACCCTGGGCAGCCTGACGCTGAACACTTAAAATGATAGAGCATTCACTGTCACTCTGGACAAACAGTTCCAGTGACTCGCTGCCCTCATCATAAATTGCTTCCATTTGTTGTGTTGCAGTGAAACTTCCCACTTGATTCAAGTGCTTAATTTTTTTATTTATTTTTTTGTGTGTAGTGCCTGCTTCCAGCCTTGCTGCTTCTCCAGCAGTTGTCAGTGGACATCCTAAGCTTCAGACTCCAGTGTCCTCCACCAGCTCTTTGACAACAGCAGTGCTTCCCACAGCTAACACGGCTACAGTTGTAGGCACTAACCAAGTGCCCACTGGCAGCACTCAGTCAGTGTCTGTCTCATTGCAGTCTTTGCCTGTAATCCTGCATGTACCTGTGGCAGTGTCATCCCAGACTCCGCTTCTGCAAGGCCACACAGGGACTTTGGTCTCTAACCAGCCGTCAGGCAACGTTGAATTTATATCTGTACAAAACTCGTCTACAGTTGGTAGCCTTACCAAAACTACAGTGTCTTTGGCATCAACTAACACAACTAAACCAAATAACATCCCACATGTGCCCAGTCCTGGTATTCTAAGGAACTCTACAGCCAGTGCTGGGTCAATAGGCACAACGTTGACAGTACAGGCTGTTCCTACTACACATCCTGTTACCCAGACCACAAGGACTTCTTTGCCCACAGTGGGTACTCCAGGACTTTATAATGCGACTGCCAGTCGAGCGCCCCTACAGATGAAGATTCCTCTCCCTGCATGTAGTAGTACAGCTCCTACTGAACCACCAACCATTGCAGCACCCAAGACTGGTAAGTTATGCTTGAATGTTGACACTGGCAAAGGAAGATAGTGGTCACAGAGAAACGTAAATCTGCACTCTGTGGAAAATTGTTTCTTAATGTGTTTTACAGAGATAGTTCTAGATTGCATTTCTGTTGAAATTTTCAAGATCAAAATAATCTCTACAGCAGATCTGTTTGAGACATTGTTGAAAATAAACTCCCCTTGGAGTTAGCAGTGTGGCTTTGTAAGCTTTGTTTTATTTAGAATTTGTTTTATATAATTCCTAGCATGAAGTCAAACTCCTGTCATTAAGAACTTGGTGTTTAATTTTAACACAGCCTCTCAGAATAATATGAGCTATCTTTCTTAGTAAAGGCATACTGAAAGGAAAGTATAATTGTAACTTAATTTTCACAACACTTAAAAGTAAACAAAATAGTAGAAAAAACTAACTGAATATGAACCTAGTTCCAAAGGAGTACACTTACAGTATTTAAATAAAGTCTCTAAATACAATAAATGTTCAAATAACAATAATTAGATTAATTACTTTTAAGTACTTTTTCTCAGTCTTTGGTCCTGCCCTGATGGTTGTCTGCACTTCTGATTTTACATACCTTGAATTTCTTTTATAAGAGGTCTTTAGGATTTGTAAGTGTTGGAGTTATAGCAAGTGCCTCATTGGCACAATATAAATTAGAAGAAACTCAAGCAGAACTTGACATCAGAACTAGTTTCATTTCATTTTCCCGTATCTAAGTTACCCGTGCTAAAATACGTGCTCCGTAGAGTTATTTTATATTTTATATTGACTCTTAGCTCTAAAGCAAATAGAAGTGATTTAAGACAACATAAAAAGGGTTGTGACTGGTGAGATACAGTGACAAAAGGGAGGACCTATGTGTCCAAAGAATGTCTCATTTTATGCGGTTTCCATAGATTTACTTTATACCCTGTTAGTTTTCTCACCACAATTGAAACGCTGGTTTGGGCCAGCACTGTTGCTGATAAGCTCTCGTTAAAATGAAAAAGAATGAGAACAGAATTTGAATTTATATATTTGCATCAAATATTAAAGCAGCTTCTTAAATTGCTAGTTTAATGTTTGGCTGAGCTACTAAAGGTACTCAGTCTCCCTGCCTCAGTTATATACTTTGCAGTCTTTTTAAACCATCCTTTTTTCAGTCAGGTCTTTTTTTGTACAGAAATATTTAACAATTGTATTAATTTTTAGTTGAATAGCTTATCAATATGTGTACAGAGGGAGGAGAGGTTGGAGTTATACTTTGTTCTCAGTCAAGGAAATTGCTCATAAAAGACTTTTAATATACTGTCAAACTTAGAAGGAAAGGAACACATTAATCAAACTTGAATACTTATAATTGAAAACCGGGGCTAAATGTAAAATATGTCACATATTGAATGTTCAGTGTCAAACAGTTTTGAATATTGCCTTCAAATATAGCTAGTGGGTAGCAATAATTAGTACTGAGTAGATACTGCAAATGAACAATTTCTTACCCCTCAGAAAACCAGACGAGCAGGCCACTAACAGATACTGCGGCAAACAAGCGACCTGCTGAGGGAACAGCACAGGTAGGCTGTTGATTGATTCTATATAATACTCTAAAGTTACAATCCACAGGAGATTATTGATTATAATTGAACAATTTTAGTTTGTTTTGTGCCATCATTTGTAGTTTTTCTCAGTTTATATTATTCTTTTTTTGATTCACTGTTACTTGCAGCATGAGCTTCTGATAATTTTTTCAGAAGTATTCTGATGGGATTTTTGTAGGAAGACGTGTTGGTAAATCAGGAGCAGACTAAATGTTGTCTGCTAAAACAGAGCTAGCACATAAAGACTGCCCAATCTTTGTCTGAATGGCTTGAACTTACATAGCTACAAATATTTTATTAATTATTGCAGTGCTCTCATTCCTACACTAATCCAGAAGTTAAAATTGGAATTCTAATGTTTGATTGCCATATATTGTGGGAGAAATCAAAAAAGGAAAAGAAACCTTCTTCAGGAATAGCTACTTCATGATAAAGGATAACTTGAAATACTTCTGGATTCCTTGTCTAAAATTCGTTGAACTTGCTTTGAAAGCTTGAAATTAAACTATTTAAAATTCTTCATAAATAATTTCACAAAACACCTCATACTTAACTCTATTAACCAGAAGTCATGTTATTAAGAGGAATAAAATTAATTTCTTCTAGACAGCATTTCCAAATTCATTAGTGTCTGAAAGTACAGTTATTCTAAATTGTATTTCAAAGCAAGAAGAAAATATACTGGACGATATTTTGGTTTTCACCTGTTGAAAGTAGTCTGGTAAAGGTAGCTAGTATTTTAGAGTATAAACTCTGCCTCACTCTATCTTTCCATTAAGATAAAGAAAGGTTGTTTGGAACTTCATTTTTCAAAGATACCTGTGGATTATAGCTATTCAAAACCCTTATCAGTACTTGATGTGTAGGAAATCCAGTACCATAATGGATGACAGTAGTACAGTTTTATGGTTTAATTTTCAGTATAAGATGCATATTTTGGAATTTTTCTTCAGTGAGAGCCTGAAACCTGGGAAAAAATTCGGAAAAACAGATTGTGTATGATAATGGTATTTAGCAGTGGAAGAAGAGCTAGAAGGAGGGAAATAAGGCATAAGATGTTTTCTGGTTTTCAGTCTTCTGTTGTGTAGTTTATGTTCTAGGTTTGCTTTCGATGAAATCAGTTAAAGCATGTGTAATGCCATGGTTAAAAAGGAAGCACCTGATATATTTTAATTGGCTAGTGAGGTATGGAATTGACATGCCGTTCATTTGAAAAATCCAGTTAATGCCACCTGCTTTTTGTTACATAAAATCCCAAATATTATGTATTACTCCACACTTCGCAGCTCTCAGATCATAAAGTAGCTCGCTGTGTGCCGTATACCTGTGGCATATTTGATGGTACAACTTTGATCAATTGTTTCGAAAAGCAGTTGAAACAGGAAGAGACTCCATCAGAAAATAAAGAAGCAGTAGAAGCAGCACAGACGAATTTTAACTTCCCTGAGGATGTCCTCTTTGGCTTGGAGGAAGAGGAAGAGGATGCTAAGAGCATCAAAAACACCCACAAGCAGACTGGCTGGGCAGCTAACCTATTAAAACAGTGGCTGGCCAAAAATGGCAAGGATCCTAGCTTTGAATTGGTCCCAGTAAGTGAACTCAATGATATCTTAAGAGAGTTTTATTACACAATAAGAAATCATGATGGAAATACCTACAGTGTGGCAAGCTACAAGTCAATGCGTGCTGGCTTAAACCGGCATCTCAAAATGTCGCCTTATAATCGTCAGATTTGCTTAATGAAGGACAAAGAGTTTGCCAGTGCAAACATGGTGTTTGTGAGCGTGCTGAAGATGCTGCGCATGCAGGGAAAGGATGAGACTCACCACCATCCTCCTATAGCTGCCGAGGACCTGCGTAGGATTAAGCAATCTGGTGTGCTGGGTTTGCACAGTCCCCTGGCACTCGTCAACAAGGTGTGGTTTGATTTGCAGTTGCATTTTGCCAAGCGAGGGAGGGAAATTCTAAGAGATCTGGCTCCAGATGCATTTGTGGTTGAGAAGGACAAGAATGGGCGTCGATATGCTATGTTTAGATATCCTGGCAAAGGCAAAAATGGAGAAGATCCTCATAAAATGGGTAAAATGTATGATATGCCTGGGGACCCAAACTGTCCTGTGTTTTCCTTGGAACTTTATTTGTCCAAGTTGCCTCCAGAGCCCCCTGCCTTTTACCTGCACCCTCTAAAGCTAACGTCAGAGCAAATGCAAGAGCAGCCGGTCTGGTACAAAAGAGAACCAATGGGTGTGAACTACCTGGGTACCATGATGCCCAGGATAAGTGTGGCAGCCAGGCTCTCTCAGCGGTACACCAATCATTCTCTCCGAACTACCACCATCCAGCTCCTCTGTGAAGCAGGACTGGGGCCTAGGGAAATAATGGCAGTGACAGGCCACCGCTCCGAGTCTGCTGTTAGGCACTACTGGGGACCTGCAGAGATTCGCTACAGGGCCTGGTCAGATAGAATGGAAAATAATGCCCCCAATTATCGATACAGCAAGATCCCAAATGAAGTGATAAAAGAATCAGTATCTGGTGCATCCACTTCCTCTGTAAAACGTACTGTTCTAGAACAAAGCAAAATTTTATTCCCTACGAAATCTGTGGTGTCGCCTGGCACAAACTCTGTGGCTTTAGTCCCTGAGGGACACCCAGCTCTGAATTGCAAAAGCCCGGTCCTGTTGAACCGCAGTACGTCCAAGGTGTTTCTCCCCAAGAGCATGACCAGTGGGAACCTGACTGCCGGTCCCCTTCAAGGCTGTTGTAGCAAACCTGTCTTTATAAAGCGTGTGATAAAACAAGAACCTATGACTTGATGTTTCTGTAATAGAACTGATTTCAGATGAATTGCTAAAATGGAAAAATTATCAGATTTGTTTTTTTTATTTGGTCGACGAAGGCAATTCCTTATGGTCTAATTCAGCAAGAAGTATCCTGTTTGCACTCAAGATGTGAGCTATGGAGCAGAAATTTAAACTGAGGAGGGCTTGGAGTTTGTATGACTTTTTTTGTGGCAGCTGGGACTCTTCCAAGTGGCTTAGCAGAGTTATTTAAAAAATTAAAGGGAGCTATTGATTTCCACTTAGCTGAAGACATATGCTTTCTTCACTAAGAGTGTGGCTTTTATATTTTGTGAAGAGTGTTATTTATCGTACCATTTTGTGACTGCTGGCACTAATGTAGCATCTTACAAATCAAATACTTGATTACTGAAGAGCACCAAGAAAGTAGAAGCTGAATGAAATAGACACAGATGCGCTACAAATACGTACATACGCATGAAAACACCTGGAATTGCTTAACCACTGTCACCCTCTGTTCAGATTGTTATCAGACCTACTAGAGCACTGTGCCTTTGTTTCCTTTTTTTTTTAAAGCCTTCTTCTAAATTGATTTTCTCTGTGAGCTGCAGATTTGCATTGCAGGTCTTTCCTTTTCCTATTTAATATTTTTGGCTTAAGATTCTAGTCATTCTGTTCTCAGAGGGCACTATTGATACGTGTGGTATTAAAATTGGGATCTCTTTGGTTGTGCATGAAATGGGGAAAACATTCTCAAAAGAGCTGGAAACAATTTCTTGCTTAAATGGCAGGTAATTAGTGTTTGGGTTGTCTCTGTGCCTAACTTGTGAGAGGGTTTTTGTTTTTTTTTTTTTTATATTTCCTCTCACCAACCCCCTTCATTACAGGTCAGATCATCTTTGCACTCTAGTCTTTGCCAGTATATGTAATTCACAAGAACTACATCTTGTTCTTCCCCACTGAACCCTGTCCAAGTTTTATTTTTGGTTTTAACTTCTTCAGCTCAGTAAACTGGTCCTGTCATTATCTTTTCCCTAGATTTTAACAGGTAGAAATTCTCAGCATAGTGGATGTGAATAATTTTCATCATAGATTATGACAAGAGATCTTCCTGTAAATAAAAATAGAAAACTGGTTATAGAATTACAGATTATAGTTGGTCCACTTTGGAAGAAGAAACACTATAGCATTTAAAACTGTTTCCATATATTAACAATGAAATAGAAATTGCTTTGTCCTTTTCAAATGTGTGTACACAGATGCACTTCACATGGTTTATCACACTAAGGACTTCACTTGAAGTGTTGATGTTGCTCAACAATGGACATAATAGGGAAAAGTCCCAGCTGAAATGACAAATTAACCATGATAAACTCTTAATTCTGTGGAGAACTTCCTTGCTGGGATGGGCTTCCAAATTTTGAATGAGATTTATGACTCTGTTGTAGTGTATAGTCGATATAGACACTGCTGTAGTCTGTACAGAGGACTTGATGATGCCTGAATGTTGGAGTTTTTATCTTGGCTGGTAATATTTACCTTTGTGACCTTGTGCCAATTATTCATACTTACTGCATCAATTTTCCAAAGGGTAAGACCAACACAGTGCTCCATTTTCTAATGGATGGTGATAAAGGTTGAAAGGTTTTAAAAGTTCTTTAGTGATCTTAAACTCCTCTATGGTTGAGGTAGTTGATCAGATGTAATTGTTAATATAGAAATTACTTCTACACAGTCCTGCTTCCTTAGTAGGAGCGTTAATTCATTACATAAATGACTAGAGGAAAAAAGGCATGGGTCAATTTTGTCAAGCCTAAAGTAAATGAATTAGAGATGGCAAGAAGAAAAAGTGAAAAAACAAAGGGCGGACAGTTCTCAAAATATAGGAGAACTTCAAAATATAGGAGAACTGTGCAGTAACTTATTCTAGGATATTTTAGGGTAACATAGATTTCCAAATTTTAGGGATTCATAGAATTAATAACTCAGCAAAACTGACAAAATTAATCCCTGAATTTAATCTAAACTTCCACCAGGATGGATATGTATTAGTGTCCCCCCCAAAAAAATGTTCCCATCTCTGTCTCAGGTATATAGGCTTCTTCCAGCATATTGGCATTGAATATTTATCCTCCAGAAACAAGAAAAGTATGAAGTCAGATGATTCTGTGTTCCCTCTTGCTGCATACTGTGGTCAGACTGACCACACACCCTGCTCTGGTTCTGACTGCATCTGGGTGTCTTAGTGCAACAGCAAATTGCTGGTGGCTTCATTCCTCAACACAAATCTAGTTGGTGATTAAAAGAGAAAAAGGGACTCTCTAGGCCAATCTTGGCATGTCTCTCGTTCTTTCTGATTATCATTTGGCTTCTAACTTGACTTCCCTTCTGTTGGCTTCTAATGGGGTCTTTTTGGATTCTCATTTGTGAAATTTTAATTTTGTTGGCACCACCTGTACAGTATCCTCTTACTACCTTCAGTTTGAACCTGATACTTCAAAGCTTCTGACTGCAATATTACTACCATGTGGGTTTTTATATGGGAGATTTTTTTTTAATTTTTTTAAATAAGAAAGTATTCCTCATTTTGGCTGGAAGTATTATTGCTTCACAAGACCTGGGATCATTATTTACTAAGCTTTCTGGTAGACTTTTATTTCTAATTAGTAGAACATCTTTCTAACCTTCCAGAATGGAAAAAAAATCTTTCTCCTGTTTTCCCCTCCCACCTAGAGTGTTAAATAAATCTTTCCTACATGTATTTTATTTCTAGAAAAAATGAACCAAATGCATATTTTGCAGCTTTTGTAAAGTCAATTTTGGCTGTGAGTAGAGTGATATGGGGAACAGGGAGTCAAGTTTCAAATCAGTGCTGTTCATGGCAGTACAGGTTATGCTGTATGAACATAATGGATTCTGTCAAAATGGACATGAATTGTACTCCTCAGTTGCAGTATCAGCAGAGAACCTCAAAACAGAAGGATAACAGTTTTTGGGGGTTTTCCCATTATTTTTCCTCTATAAGTGAATGTGTTTGGTGAACCAACAGGTTAAATATAGTTTGTTTGTCTAAACTTAGATTTATGCTTTGGCTGCAAATTTAATGCAAAATTGCCAATCATAATTTAAAATTCACTTTAAAAATCTGAATAGAACAAATATTCTTTGAAAGAAATTTATCTTCTATGATCTTGAGTTTTCTAATCAGATCTCCTAAAAGAAGACTTTCATTTCAGTTGCAGAAAAATCCCTGAAAGCAAAACCAATCAACCAACCAAAAACCCCCAACCAAAAAAAAAAAAAAAAAAAAAAAAAAAAAAAACCAACCAAAAAAACCCAAAACCCAAAAAAATAATCACCCCAAACAAACAATGACAACAAAAAACCCCCAGCACTTAGACTAAGTCAACTAAATTAATACTGACTGCTATGTTATTGATTAAATTCCATTTTCTTTGATGGAGATGACCCTGAAAACAGTGGAGAGTAACTGGTTCCTTATATAATGCTTCCTTTGCACCTCATTTTCATAATTCAGCTTTGGTACTAGTGTTGTGAATATTGAATTCGTTTTCCCTGTGTTTTCCTGTGAAGCTTGGAAATCTCAGCTGTTAAATTAAGAGGTACTCTGATTACTTCTTGGTTTTATGAAGTTGGCATGGTATCTCAAAGTATGTTAAATTTCCGTTGCTTATATGCACCTTCTCTGTACCATGTGAAGTGCTCCACTGTGCACAGTGCTGAATACCTGAAGGCATTGGAAGGATGCTTTGAAATTGAGTTTGTTCTTGGGTTTGTTGTGGTTTTGGTCCAGTACCTCTGGTTATCCTGAACAGAACCACTTCTCAGTAGTTGCTAAAGTTTTCCATATGCAGCTTGGATGTACGATTTTCCCGTATGACTGTTTTCTTCTTTTCAGCCTTTCTCTCTGCTTCCTGCTCCAAAAGGAGTGGATGTGGAAGGGGACATCTTACTACTTGTATTAGTCCTTCATCTTCAGCTTTTTCCTGTGTACACAGAAATTTAAGGGTTGTTATTTGTTCCTAATCATTTAATCAATTGCCATTCCAGTGCCTCGGGTCTTTGAGTTGCATTTCTGAAGACATGATAAGCACTTTTACTGCATTGGGGCAAATGTTATTGTTACAGAGGAAGAGGCATTTTTAATTATATAGCAGATCTTTAGACTGGTTTAAAAGTATTTTAGTATGAATCCCAGTTATAGATACAGGATTTATATATATTATATATAATATATAAATATAGTTACGGTATAATGAGAGAATATATGAAAGCAGGTTTATTACACTGTAACATAAAGTAACAGTGAACAAATCTTAACAGGGTTTGATGTGTTGAAAATATCTGGCATAAGTCAATCTTCAAGAATTGTTTGCATTATATTTATTAAAACACCAAGTCAGGTGATAGTCTTTTTTTTTCCTGTTCCCTGCTTCATGTGCAACTTATTCTTTTAAGGAGCAAATCTCTTTTTTAGTCTAAATTTCATCTGTGCATTTCACTTTACAGCTACTATTAGTTTATTAAATAAAGTTCACCAGTGTCCTACCTGTTTCCCATTGTTTCCAACATACCTTGAGTTCTTTGGTTGAACTACAGTTTAATTTAAGCTGTTTTGCTGCCTATTGGAAATCCATTTCATAAAAGATTAATAAAGTATGTTTATAACTCCTATCACATTACTCTGCGATGTGTAACAAACTTTGTAAGTGTCTCTTAGGAAATAATGTGAGCAAAATGGATATGTCAGCTTACAGTTTATAAGCAGCTATTAATTCTGTGTTGTTGAAGCATTATTGATGAATATGTTTCCTTGCATTTCATGGTTTTATCACTCAAAATAAACATATATAGTTATATATGTAAAATGGGCTGCTTGACTTTTGTCTCTGACCATGGGGTTATGTTCGGGCTGTTTAAAATGCCACTAGCTCACATCTGTGAGGTGGAACCTTTGCCTGAGACTAATTAGAAAACTAAATTATAAACTTGTTAGCAGGATGTCGTGTAGCTGATTTGGATGTCTGTTTTAAGGAGCACAGTTAAAGTGAATCCATTCTCACGTGACTTTTAAAGTGATTGTCTTTCCCCACGACTGTATCTGTGTTACTTAAACTGACCCCAACTACTGAGAGCAGTTTTTAATGAGTAAACATACTTGCGTATTGTGGGCTCAGATTTGTCATTTGAGGCCAAAAAATTGGGAGATATATTAAAACAATCTCATTGATTATGCCATTACTCCAGGCATGGATAATAGCTTTTAAAAGCTGCAGTATACCAATCTGAAAAGTATTATAAATATATTTACTGTTCGATAAGATGGACAACATCTGCTTTTTGCACCAAAGAAATGAGAGGGTATATAATACATAGGGGTTACTATAACTGGTTATTCATTTTTTCCATGCTTGTATTGTCCTTGTTTGGTAGGAAGTGTAGCACAGTACCAGTTAAGAGCAAGGGGAATGGAGCAGTCATGTGAATGAAACACATAATGTGTCTGTTAAAAGTATTTTTGAGTATTACACAAATACACAGCCACACACCATCAAAACATGTATTGCAGCACTGTGAAATTTAGTTTGTGTGAACTTTGATCTTGGTAAACTGTTTCCTTTATTGCATTATCATTTTCCTTTTATCTTGGTAAGAGATGACAAATATGTTTGGTACCTGGTTGAGTAGATTATCATGACATCTTTGGAAAGCTGGAATAATTCAGTTTTTTGGGAGTTACTGCATTGGAAAAAGTAATGGTTGAGGAGTGATGAATCTGACACTGAAACAGTCTGTGGCTGAAATATGCTCCAAAATGTATTAAAAAAGTAATTTTCACAACTGCTTAAACTGTGCTTGAAGTCTGTAATTTTGTATACGGATGACCCAAAATGAAATATTGACCTTATAATTATGCATACAAACACGGTATTGCCACCCTCTCTACATGCATTCCATTCCCAAGACATATTTTTAACATCACTCCCCATAATTGAAGATGGATTTTGCTATTATATAACGCCTTGGTGCGTCATGTATTATTGTGGTGGTGTGATGCTTCATTAATTGTCTGGTTTACAACCTCCAGATTTTTTTCTAGTTTGTTACAGTAAAAACTATTAATAAAATTGTCTGCACTGTGTCAGTGTGCCACACTTAATCTTCAAAATTTTGATCTTTACTACCCTGAAATTATTTTTTTACTTTGCAATATATTTTTTCATTGTTGCATTTCTTCCCCTTAATTTTTCTCTCTTACATACTGAAATGTTCCTTTATGAAAAGCAGGTGGCATTACAATCAATAACTTTGTTATCTCTGTGATGAAAAGAACTGTGGCGTTATATAATACCAAAACTTTTAAAATCATTTCTATCCTATGTGAATAGAGAAGTGCATATTTAGAACTGTCTTCAAAATACCAAGTTGTAGCTTTTGGATTTTCATCTGGTACAATACTTGTGCATGTTGTTGAGCTGTTCCATTTGATCTTTAGAGGTTTTCTTTCCCAGTTTTCTACAGCAGTTTGCCATTGGCCTATACGTGCTGTGGTGTTTTAACTTTTTCTGTGGTAAATTTCACAATTACAGTTATGGTGGGAGATAACTTCTTTTCTCAATATCATGTTTACCAATATGTGCTTTGGTCCTTAAATTGTCTCCTTCCTTACCTTTGTTTTCCTTGTGGTATCAGAATAGAAAAAAATGGTGGGGATGGGTGTCTAAAAAAGCTTTCTCTTTCAAAATTGCATATAATGAATCAACCTAATTCGCAGCAGTAATGATCTGAAAAAGTTGCTGGATAGCAAAGCCAAGGTAATATTCTTTCTCCCACTCCATTGTATTTTACAACACTGTAAATGGTCTCTGCAGGTAGAAAAACAAATATAATGGTACTAGCCTGTCTGAATGTCCCTGCTTTTCTAGAAGCAGATGAGGAAACTGCTTCATAATCACTTGAATGCCAGAGACAGACCTTCATTTATTGCAAGGCTGATGCCCTTCTGATTTCCCTTTATTAATACACTGTTTTCTAGTGTGGGAATTGATTATTTGATATTGCAGTCAATAACATGGGATATTATGAGAGTCTTCCAATAGGAGGAAAAAAGTTCCTCATTTTAAAACATCTGCATTGGTTTTATTGCAAATCTTAATTGTAACGTCAAGTTCAGGTGACCCTGTATTTATCCATTTTTGACAAGTTCCATAATTTTTATTACCACTAAGAACCCCTTTTCTATTATACTTACTGTTTAAATGTCTTCAGTATCCATTTGATATCCACTGGTTTTAGAAAGTCAATGTGTAATTACTTTCTTTTTCAAGGAAACAGTATCATTGCTAGTTTTTCCTAGCAATTATCCCCATAAGTAGATCTTATTTGTCAGTCCATCTATTTCTCAGCACTTTCTTCCTTTCTTAAAAAGACTTTAGTGGTTAGGAGTGGAAGAAAGCAATTATGTTGTCTATGCATACACAGTAAAATATGCATGAAATTAAGAGAGCATAGGTAATTTTTACTGATTCTTTTTAGAAAACCCTGAATTGAAGTGTAATTACTAAAATATTAATGGAGATTTTGTGTAATTAATTAATATAAAGTTTTGTTTGTAGTAGTTTTCATGGTCAAGAAAATCTGAAAATGTTAGTTATAAGCAAAAGTTTTGCAGTTAGTAGAGAACTTAGAAGTACCAATTTCTATTATGAAGTAGGAAAAATACACAAATTTGAGTAGTTGCATTCATTTTATGCATGCTTTTCATTTTTTTCACTTCCATATGCACTATAAAGCAGTTTCCATGTAACTGGTAAAGAGAAATTTAGAAGAGGTTATGATGTCTATTTCAGGACTTGACAGGTTTCACTCAAATACTCAGAGAAGTGTATACGCTTTCAGTTTTGCCCTTTCTTCTAAGGTCTTTCAGTTGCTGCTTTCACAAGTTCTGTGCTTGCCATTAAAATATTTTCCCTTCACACTTGCCAAGTTAGATGCTTGCCTGGGGCATCTGACACACAAACAGATCATTTCATGTTGGTAATTGCAATAGGTGTGACTTTGCAGACTAAAGCAGCTGGGGCTGAGGGCCTGCAATTTGACAAGGTTTTCTTCAAGGAGCACACTTTTCAAAACAGATCAAAACTGTAAATGCAAAGGGCCTTCTACTCAGTGGGTTGTTTCAGGGAAAATATACAGCACTGGGAGTAGTGAAGTAACTTCGCAGTACACTTACCCCATCCTTCCATATTTGTGGTGGTGCAGGCTCAGTTGCTGCATGGCTTGTTATTTTCTTTTCCCCTCCTACCTTTCTTCTTCCTCCTGCTTCCTTTTTTCACCTTTCTTTCTGCTCTTAGTCGTACCTTGCAGTCCTCTCCTCCCCCACTTCACCTTATGTTTTGCCTTTTAACTCCAAGTTACATGTGTTGTCTTAGGCTGGAGCTACATTAGATTCCAGTATGAAATGAGCAAAAGTACTAAATGTTCAAAAGTATGGAAAAGGGGATTTGGGTAGTTTACATTTCTTTTAAATCTCAATGTAAACCTTTTTTGCTAGATTACTAGAAATTGCCCAGGTGCTGTGTTAAACAATCAGTTTTAAGTGCAGCTTCTGTCTGGTCTGGAGATGGGTGCGCTGGCTCTGACAAAGGATGACAGGTTGGCTTGTGGGGTTGTGATTTTGTTTGCTTTGGTTGGGTTTGTTTGGTTTTGTGTTTATTATTTGTAACTGTGACATTTTAAATATCTACAGATCACTTTATGATGCCGTGGTTGTTTTGTTTCTCTTTCAGCTTATTTGTGCTCTAAGGTGTGTGAATCCTTTGTTACTAAGACTTGCTAGGCAGTACATAAACTAAACTGTCAGGCAAATGTTTGAGGTTCTCGTTAATGGTTTTCATTATTTCACTCATGTGGCTGCATTCATAGAAAGGTGTTAATATGGCATCATCTGTTCTTCTGCAGAGATAGCTGAAGCAGTTTCATGTTGTTGGCTTCCTGTGTTTGGGGATAGCAGAAAGTGATAGCAGACCAGAATGCTTTGACTGCACTTTGCTGCTTTACCAGTTTCTACCCAAATGCTTGCTGAAATCTAATATTAGGAGCTGAAATACTTGTTCTCTTGTTTCAGTTTTTGACATAAATGAAATTGTTATTCATAGATGACTGGAAGTCCAGTGCCAGGCTTCCTCTTGACTTCATCAGGGCTGCAAGCATTCTGAAGTTGTCTTCTAATTTTGCTCAGACCAGCACATCTGAATCTCCATTTCTTGTAACATGCCAATCTTGTCCAAAGAATCCCATTCCTTCCTTTTTAAGGAAGAAAAGAGCAGTTGTTTCTCTGTAGTCTTTCCTCAGACACAGTTCTGTTGTAAACTGGAGTCTTCTCAAGTCCTTGTGCTACAAAAAATTTCCCTGAGAGAATTTCTGTGTGAAAGAGTCATGATACTAAAAAAGGGTGGTTTTATTTTCTTGTTTGGTTGGGTACAACCAGGGCTTTTCAGGGCTTTCTGAAAACTCTTTATTACTTGCATTTCACACAGATGATGCCCTGTGGTTAAATTTGTAGGTCTTGACCATTCTGGTGGTGTCAGTACTGCAGAAATATCTGGATAAGCTGGTAAAGTTGATCTCTCAGATGCTTAATTTCACCATGGGGAAGTCGTGTAGACCAGTCCTCTAACACGAGGTTGCCAGTTCTTCCTGGATTTCCTTCTCATTCTCAAATGAAATCTTGAATTTGGGATATCTATGAGTATCTGAAAACTGTGTGTGCCAGCACAAGAGGATATAGAAATGGATGCTCCTCCTCTTCCTTATGAGTGTAGGTGGATGCTGCAAATAGTCAAAATCCTGACCTTTATGACAGGGA